TCACGAAGAGAGAATCTTTTGTGCCTTGTGCCTCATGAAACTAATTATGAAAGAAGAAAACAAAACATATTTAAAACTTGTTCTAATGATGTAGCAAAGCAAACAGAATGCCGAGCCATGACTCACGGTAGATGTGCTGGCTAGTACTCAACTGTAGACAAGAGAAACTATGGCAGTATGTTATTTATTTATTTATTCATTTATTTATTTTTTGTAGAACCGGGGCATGTTAGTATGTTTAATGAGAAAGCTAGTGATCTGTATTTATGATTGTCTTGTTCACTTTTCTCCCTTTGCTACAACAAAGTGTCTGACACCCCCGTTTTCATTCATTCATTCATTTCATAAATATGTATTGACTGTCTCCTTGGCATCAGGAACTGTGAAATGTGTCAGGGACAAAGTGATGACAAGAACAAAGACATGTATCTCTTGATCCCGTGGTGCTTAGGAGTGCATGGTTAAACAGTATTGAAATAAGTAAAGCCTGGGATGAAGAAAGCAGGATCTTCTGGGAAAAGGGTGAACTTAGCAGAGTGACTACTTTTTCAGAAAAATATTTATTGCTGTTGGAAAATGGTTACAGTGTCTTTTGAGGGTGGTTCAGACCTCAGCATGTGCAGGCAACACAGGTGTCAGCAAATCCAAGTGCATGGTTTTCTGCCTGCAGGTCTGGACAAAGTCCTTCTGATCCGGGCTGTAATTCTCTGCAGCCACCATACACAAAGTGCTCACAGAAACCAGAGCTGGCATTGAAGAAGAATCTGTTAAACAGAACCTTGCAGGGACCTCTGTAGAGAGGCTAGGGGTAGAAAGCAGGTGGCTGGGCTTTGGAAGGAATGCTGGTCTGTTTTCCCTGGGCGCTGGCCACCCGGGTGGCGATGAGGACAAGGAGAACTGCAGAGCAGAAAAGCCTGTGCATCTTCGTGACCAAGACACCAAGCTTCCTGGGGGAGGGTGACACCTAAAATCGGGGAAGGAAAAGTTTATTGGGCGCACAGTTTATGGAGGTTTCAGTCTGTAACCAGCTGACTCCAAGGCAGGGTGGCCTGGCAGAGGGGCAACAGTTCAAGGCAACAGGAGATGGCAAAAGCAACTTCTTTTGCTCTAAAAGGTAGTCACAGAGCAAGGCTCCTTTGCTCCCTTGTACTGTGAGCAGGCTACCCGCCCACACCCCCAGTGAAGGCGCAGCACTCACACCATCTGGCTGTCCTCCTCTTGCACAGCAAGGACCAGGGTCTCTGCTGAGTCACTTAGTTAACCTTCTACACTTCTCAAGTTGACACCATGAATCAGTCATAACAATGATAATTCTGGAAAGCATAGGAACTGATGGCTCCGGGACACCTCTGTACTTCTTAATTTTCATAAGTAAAATATGTAAATGTGGTTCTTTTTTCAAAAGTTGGTGGCAAAAATCTGTTGTCTGTCTCTGTCACTTCTTTCCAGTTTTCTCAATGTGTTGCAGGCAATCACATTGTGAGCTACCCTGTGCAGAGGCTCAGGCCTTGCAAATTGAGAAGTCTCTGAAAGGCAGCAAGTTGCTAATCAGGATTCTACACGCCTTAAAAGTGAGCCAGAAAGCAGATCTGACTCTTCGGTCATATTTCCAATGAGAACACCATTCTGTGTGACTTTTAATTGTCACCTATTGCTTGGGTGAGCTTCCAGAAAGATTTTATGGTTTTTACTGGTGGAATTATATCACCATATTGAAGTGAGGTACTGTGGAACAGAGAGAAGGAAGATCTCAGTGAGCGTCTTTTGCGGGGCATGGAGATCAGTATTATAAAAACATAATCTATAAACCTAAACTTACGAATGATGTGTATAATTTCTACACTAAGTAACACCTGATATTTTGTTCCATAAGTGGACCTGGATGATAATCTTTTGTTCATTAAAAGTTGGAACTGCTGTGGTATTCTGCAACACCTAAAATGAAAATTCCCAGCACCATGATATGTGTAAGCCTTGAGATCCAGGAAATTAAAGCAGGAATTTATTGTTTTTGTTAAAACAATAAAATAATCAATGTAGTCTAGATTTTTTAGCTACTGGCAAAAGACATTTATTTATTTTTAATTATTTGTCTTTTTATTCAGTTTTTTAAAAAAATTATTATGTGTTTCTAGCTGTCAGCATCAGAAGATTTCACCAAGGGTCATATCTCTCACTGTGCACTAAGCTAAGGTCATAACGAATCAAAGATGTAAATTTTAAAATATAAATACTTAATCTGCTGAAGGATTAATTAGTCAGTTCTTCAAGATGTAGGAATTAAGGGCCGACAAGCAGCTCAGTGACTTAAAGTGCCTGCAAGCAGGCACAGGGGCTGGGAGTTCAATCCCCAGGCCTGCTGTGCCAGCCCTGCCCCTGGGGTGTGCTGAGATGGCAACTGAGACTGGACATGGTGGTATACTCCTATAATCCCAGC